CGTACTTTCCTGCAAAGTCTTAGGAACAAAGCCCTCTTTCATACCCATGGCATCATAAAAATGTTGTGGGTGTCCGTCTAGCAATTCATTTATCCAATCCCAACTTGTATATTGAGAATTTCAAAACGGTGTGCGAGCTATATTTACAAGTGACTTTTGTGTCTTTGAGTGTATGTCCAATAAATGTCTGAATTTCCTTCCAACGATATGACTTGCGTTTGCAAGCATCATATGGTAGTTATCTAATGAATAATCAATTACGTTATCTAAAGCGTCTTCAATTAAATCATTAACATTTTCTTTGCCGCTCGACATCCTACAGAGTTTTTGTAAAATCTTATGGTCGGCAATCCCATACAAAAGTATGATGTTCAAAATACGCAATTCCTTAAAAACAATGGAGTAATTATACTCAAATCACTAAAAACAATATATTCATACGAGAATCAGGTAGCATTGTCCAACAATGACAAACCACAATCACGCAAGGAACATACAAAGTTCAAATTGTTTAAATTAAGAGTTTAGAGAAAATAGAAGGAATTGTTTTTAGACACCCAAACTAACACGTCCATGAATGAATTTTGAAGCACGGGCCAACTCGAAGACACATTCACAAGGTCACATCTCGCTTTGCTGGACCCAAAAATCGAGCACTCTTTGGTGCCTTTCATCGTCTTTATTTGTCCTATTTTTGTTGCGCTTTTTTGTGTTTGTTTTACCTTTCTTTTTCCCCTGTTTTAGTTTTTTCCGTTGGTTTTTATCTCTTTTTGTTGTTTATTGCTTATTTTCCTTTATTTTGGCTTTCTCTATGTGTTTAGTTTATTTTTCCAGATTTTTGTGTTTTTCTCGTCCTTTGTGATGTGCAGGTCAGGTACCTCGGTCGATTTTGATTTGAAGGAGAAAAATGGTTTCACAAGCTTAATTTTGTAGAAGGATGCATTGACATCACATAATAAAAAATGGAATCAATTTTTGAGTCCAGACGAGCTCGAACGAACCTGAGACGCGTAGTCATGCAATGAGGCATGAGCTCCCAGACCCCCGCACCGTGGCACATCAGGCCCTCACGTTGCACGCCACGCAGCGAAGACCGTAACACTCCTACAGAGATTCTGCTCACACTCCACACTCGCAGAGCAACTTACGCTGCGGCACCCTGTCGGCGTCATGCCACGTCACATCGTCACGTTGCGGCACAACCCAAGCTCCACGCCATGCCACTTCACGCAGTGCCCGTCATGCCCCTTCAGAAAACACAGCTCGTCCCAGCGCCACGCCGCAGAGCACCTGTCATGCCGCGACAGTCCTTCATGCTGTGGTGCCTGTTCTATCATCGCGCCACAAGCCCTCACGCTGTGGAACTATCTCCTTATATATACGCACGAGACTCAATCATAACAGATATCTCTCACCTTCTGGACAGAAAACCTAGATCCCGATCATTCCATAAACTTGTTTTGTTTTTCTTTTTCATCTTTCCCATTTTAAAACATTAAACTGATCTTAGATTTCTTGTTGCTTTCGGATTAATCTTGTACTTTGAATTCAATTTCCAATTTTAGTTTAATCGTAAGTTTTCTATTCATTTAATCCATGAATATGATTGCTTTGATTGTTAAGATTGATTTTGTTGAATTGGATACAAGTAGTTAATTCGATCTGCTAGGGATATGGGAAAGATGTTCTGAATTCATTTATGATTATCGATCTTGTCGATTGTTCATTTTATGCGAGTTGATCTTTAATAGGGTTTTCAATTATCGTGCTTAATATTGTGAATTGTTGAAAGGTGACACCTCAATTTCCAATTGATTTTCAATTGGATTTGATTCATTCTCGTGTGATGTTGTTCATTCTAATTGATTAGTCGGTTAACCACCCTCTATCTAATTTAATCGACTCTTAGAACCGAAAGAGGAGAAGTTGATCGAAATAGGCTCATATAAAATAGGCTTGTTCGTAAATGTATTGCCTATGTGTTAAACGACTCGTTAATTTGTCGTTCCAGTTTGTTCTCTTGTACAAACAATTACTGAGGATGAATCTCTGAACGAGTAGGTTATTCGAATCATTTAACTGAACGATCACTTGCCCGATAACTACATTTTAAACCAAAACAATGATCCCCGACTCCCTAGCTTCTCTATTCTTGTTTGTTCATCATCTTTGCTTGGTAATTTCAATTTTCTTTGTTTAAGTTTTCATGGTTAAAACCAATCTTCTAAATTAGAATGCTTAAGAATTTAGTTTCTTCTTTCTGTGTTTGAATAAACGTGAAGTATAATCCGACTAACCTTCCTCGAGAGATCGACTCGGGGAATATCCTTTGATTCGGTACTCGGAAAAAATATAATTTGTGTCTTTTATGAACAAAAACATCTGAGGACAAACTGTATTTTCAAAATTTGTTGTTGCAACAAAGAACACCTTGTCGGGCAAGTCCATAATTGCATCAAGATGGGTGATCGCCTCATGAAGGAAGGTGGCCCAGAGTAATCAACTTTTTTTTTTTCAAATGTCTACTCAGCTCTGCAAATGACTGCACCGCCTCTGGTAAAGTTTTAGGCTCATTCGATTTGTGGTGATGGTTTTTACGTCGTACTAAATTCATGGGGTCTTTCACCGCATCAGCACCCATCGATTCTTCAACGTGTCCCTCGCACATTGGTTCGTTGTGTGGATGCCTTAGCCCCACCACCCATAACGATCATTCTGTAGAATATCGTAGTCAGGTCCTCGTAAAACATGCATTGTTTCTGTTTCATTCCTTCATCACTTGGGTGACCCTATTTTGACAAGAACGAAGTTAATACAACAAAAGTTATATGTACGACTTGAATTAAACTTGTACAAATGACTGTCAACTTCAAAAGGCACATGTGTTTGCATATCAACCCAAAAAAATTTAATACCTCAATCGAGCGATACCACACATTTCCCCTCATATTATCATATTGCACGCACTATCCTAACCTAATCCGGTTTCGACAAGCAACATGTCGTGAAACCATCTTCACTTAGCTTTAAAACGTTACATCTTTCTTAGCAATTGATTGACTCATAAACTGGGTACCCTGGAAACGCTCTTTTAATTGCACTTGCATAAACGTCCAATGGTGGATGCAAAACTTCCTGGACATACAGTTCCCTTTTAACACCTCCTCCAATATTAAAGTAACAAACGCACATTCACATTCAGCAGGCTAGTTTGCATCACCCGACTTTTTAACATAAACAATTTCAACATTATTGTCTCCCATCTAAAACCTTGAAATAAACTAGTGACACGACGCCAAACAATCAAACCAGAAACTTTGCAACAACACAATTTACTTGCCAATTAAAAGATTTGCAAGAAGATGAATTTACAGTTAAGTGTTTTTTCGCTGGTAGGATATGCGGCTAACCTGAGCACCTGAACACTTATCTATACGCTCTTTCGTGGAAGTTTTGTTTAATCTCAATTTTCTTTGATAAAAAATATTACTAAAGCATCTAAATTTGTTAACATTACTTCTGTTGGTGGTGTAAATTTATGAGGATTCAAAACGACTCATTGGTAAGGAGACTCTTTGTAGCAACACAATTATTATCCTATTAGCATATTTTTAACAAGTTGGAGGTGCAATTAATAAAGGCAGTGAAAAAATAAAATAATACACAAACACTTGTAGATATTAACAAACAAATCTCCAAATTTTGACATAAATACATAAAAAAAACTAATTTCAAACAAATAACAACAAACATTTATGATGACCAAACACAATTCATATTTGAAGGCGGTCATTTCCAAATATTTGAGTACACAACAAAAAATTGGATGCGAAATTTGCCAACTTTAAAATGAATACTAGGATACGTACTTGTATACTTGGAGAAGTCCGTCTCTTTTTATTTTTTCCCTTTTTTTTGGCGAGGTCACGCTAAACTACCAGTGCTCTCATGGAGTTCGTACGATGGTGGTGGGGTATTAACTCCTTCCTCTTGCCGGACTTGTCTCGCCAGAGAACACGTTTGTTGGCCTTTGAAAAGGTTATAAAGAAGGAAAATGTGCTCTTGCACACTTAATTTGTAATTTCGTCTTACTATATTAATATTTTTATTTTGGAGAGGGGGCAAACAAGACCTGGTGTCATTGTCCTTTTTATTTTTTTTACGGCTTTTAAGGTGGGTGGGCAAAATAAATTGAGTTTTGTTTAATCTACCACCAACTCAACCTCATCAGACTTGTTAAGTCAAAATGAGTTCAAATGACCCAAATTGTAACTCAGTGGGTCATAACTCATTACCAATGACCCATATGTGCGTGCTTGGATACAAATATATTCGTTCAAATTTTTTTTTTTTGCTAACTAGGATTAACTTTGATAAAATTTATATGGTTAGTTGTTAGTGAGATTTTAAATTTTTATTAAAATAATATTTAAAATAAAATAATTAAAGTTAATTTTATGTAAAAGTAGGAGAGAAATTATGTGAAGCGATGATTAGTTAAAATTATGTGAGTAATGAATAGTGAACTAAAATTGATGTCATACGTAAGATAATCTGTTGATGTTATTTAATTATATTGATAATATTGTAAATAGTTGAGTTGAGTTAAAATTGAGTTAGAATTTAAGTATAAATTAATTATGAGTTAAAAAAAAATTATAAACAAACATACCCTATGATATCTAGTTGAACATCAATATTAATTAAGTACAAAAATCGAAAAAGATTTCACAATTGAGATACCAAAAATGAAGGTTTGCCTTATATAATAAACTCATGCACAAACTTGCAAGTTGCAATTGAATTTCAAATTAGATTTTAAAGGGGGAAAGAGCATGATAAACTCGTCACTCATGGGGCAAAAAGGTTATGTGAAAATCTTGTTCGCGACGCTGTAATTTCATTTCCGGCCATCGGAATTTGTCCCATCGCATGCGCAATCTAGCCATACTTCCCGAGAAATTCCAAACTGCTGTCAGTAGATTGAGATCGGCGCAGCAATGGAGGACGGTCGCCGGTGGAACGTGACGTACACGAAGCACGTTAAGCAGAAGCGTAAAGTTTATCAAGACGGTTCTCTAGAGCACCAACCCTCTCGCCGCAAGGTTTTTGCTCTGCTCCTCCTCTTTTTGAGCTGTTAAATGTCGTTTACTCTTCGTTAATTTGACGATGTTGGGAATAATTGCCTAAACACGCTAATAATCTCAAGATGATGAGATCAAATTTGTTGTTAATGAAGTGCTAAATTCGACTATTGGAACAAAGAGATGGCTGTCTAGCTGTTGAAACAGAAATTTCTAGCAGCTGCTGAGTTTATTTTTATTTTTTTTCTTCATGTCACTTATTAGCTTTAAAGTGTTTTGTATCTGTAGTCAGATATAGCTATGTGATTAGTATCTAGAGTTCACTTGTAACTGTAATTTTGTAAGAAGCTAAAGGCTCGACAACTGTTACAAGTTCATTCTTGATTCTACTTCAGTTGAGTTGTATTTCAACTGGTTTTGCTATATGTTCATGGGAAGATAGCTGTTAGGAGATCAGAATTTGATCTTGTCATCTATTAAACATTGTCCCTGATTTACTTATTGATTAGTGTCAGCAATGAGAAAGCGGTTTGCACGACCCATGTTTGGTTCATCTCATAAATATCTTGTGTGGTTTCAATATTTTTTCTAATTGTTTTTAGTATTCAACAGGTCTTGCTTTATGATGAATGGGACCAGCTCTTGGAAAGCAGGTTTGTGAAGAAGGATGACATTATCAAATGTGGTGAAACACTTACATGGGATTCGTATCTTATTGACATTGGCGAACCATGTGGGGATCATAAACCAAAACATACAGTGAATAATCACGATAAAGAGACTACATATTCACAAAAGTCGGGTTCACTTTGCAGATATGGTTCCAAGAGTAAACCAGTTCCCATAGGTACTGTGTTGATTTGTGTGTTTTTATTTTTATTTTTATTTTTATATTTTTTGTGAGTATACTCTTGAAAATAACTCCAAAGCTCGTTTTGAAAATAAGGAAGCCTCATTTGGGAAGAGTAAAGGATGACCAGTCAACTTTAGTTACTTGGATAAATTGTTTGATACAAAAAGAAGACACTTGGATAGCATGGTTATGAAAAAGAAAGGTGAAATAAATTCACTCTATTGAATCCATAGCATTTTGGGGGAGGGGTATCTAACCTCTCAGGGAAAAGAACAGCAACAAGTTTAAAATATTGATATATTTAATCAGCTCTGCTCAAATGACCAACCAATAAAAGATTTCCAGTTGCTATACCTCTCTAGCTCATTGATCTTGAATTTGAGTAAAATGCACTATAGTGTCTCCGAGATTTTTATTCATCTCTTATCAGTGTTCTTTGAGTTCCTGTTTTAGCTTTATTTCTACTCATATATTTTACACATTTAGTCTTTCTGCATCACATATATAGATGAGTTTGAAATGGGTCAAGATGATCACAATTTGGCAGCACTCTGAAGTGTTTTGCTCTAACTTCTTGCTTATGTTGGTCTTACAAAATGTTAGACCTGATCTTCTCAAGGATTGTCTTGTAATGTTTCCAATGGTGGTCAGCAAGTGGATTTGACTTGTCTGTTCTTCAATAAATTATGGGAAGTTACTTGTTCGCTAAATGACCTCTTTTACTCTATGCATTTTGCTGCTTTTTAATTTTTGTGACACTCTAAGGAGGATGTATAATAATCCTTTTCCCTATGATAATGATGTTCTTTAAGATTTGGGCAAATACGTCTAAATCATTTTACTAGTGATATAAAAGTTGGCAACTCTTGAATCCCCTTTATGATGATTACATGGGAATTTGCTTCCCTTTTATTTGATAATCATATATAACACCATTTGTTCTTGTATCTTCTTATTTTGGCTCGGATATCATGTTATGAAAAATTCCAGTCAAAAACTCTCTAGGGTCAGGGACCAGCCTTAGTGAGTCAAGCTTCAAGGCTGAAAATGCCAAATTCAACATTGAAAATGAGCCTAGACGTGCAGGTAAGAGGTCCTTACTCCGAAAACATTACCTAACACATTGGATATCCAGGTTCCCTTTTTCCTGAAGTGAATAGATTAAGAAGATCTTACTATCTGACCGACCTGTCTAATACAGTTTTTGTAATGATCTCGACTTTTGTATTTCGTTCATATTGATTTTATATTATCTATTTAACAATAACCAATGCTAGGATTATCTGTATCATTTCCAAACAGTCGTGACCATGAGCACGTTTTTCATTATATAGTGTTGGTCTTTCTCAAACATAGTTGTGAGCATTCTTTGCAATATAAATGCCTCTTCTTCATAACACCAGTACTTATAAGTCTCTAAGCATACCCAGCTTTCCAAAGAGCAATATGCTGTTTCCTAGAAATTCCAAACTTCTGTCAGTTGATTGAGATAAGTTGGAGCTCAACAATTGGTGCCAAATCGGCGCAGCAATGGAGGACGCTTGCCGGTGGACCGCAATGTACACCAAGCACGTTAAACAGAAGCATAAAGTTTATCAAGACGGTTTTCTAGAGCATCAGTCCGCTTACCATAAGGTTTTTCCTGTTTTCCTCCTCTTTTTCCGCGTACAGAATTTATTGAAATATCTATTTTTCTTTTCCAATTTCTGCTGATTACTAATTTCCTGATATTTATTGAAAAGTTTAATGTCATTTACATTGATCTCCCTGCCTTTATGCATATGCGTCAATGCATGACTGCGTGTATGTGGCCCATGGGTTGATGACGTTGGAGATAATTACCTAAACACATTAATACTCTCAAGATGATGAGGCCAAAATTAATGTTCATGAAATGCTAAATTTGACGATTGGAACAAAAATTGTTGTCTAGTTGCTGTAACAAAAAAATTAAGCAGCTGGTGAGTTTACTTATTTTTGCTCTTGTCACTTATTAGCTTAGTGTACTTTGTAACTCTGAGTCAGATATGGCGCTCTATCATTAGTTTCTAAAGTTCATTTGTAATTGTAATCTTGTAAGAAGCTAAAGGCTCAACGACATTTTAGTTGATTTTGGATTCTACTTCCGTTGAGTTATCTCAACTTGTTTGCTATATAGTCTTGGGCAGATAGCTGTTATGAGATCAGATTATAATACTTTCATTTGTTAAAAATTGTTCCTGATTTACTTTTCAATTCACGTCAGTAATGAGAAAGCATTTGCACGGCCCATGCTTGGTTCATTATTGAAAGGGTTTTTGTGGTTGCAAATTGCAATATTTTTTCTAATTTAATTTAGTCTTCAACAGGTCTTGCTTTATGATGAATTGAACCAGCTCTTGGAAAGCAGGTTTGTGAAGAAGGATGATGTTATCAAAAGTGGTGAAACACTTACATGGGATTCCTTTCTTATTGACATTGGCGAACTATGTGGGGGTCATAAACCGAAACCTTTGGTGAATACTCATGATAAAGACAGTAAACATTCACAAAAGTCGGGTTCATTTTGCAGCTATGGTTCCAAGAGCAATGCAATTCCAGTTGGTACTGTGTTGATTTGTGTTTTTTTCCCCTCTGTAGCGAGTTCATTCTTATTCAATCATCTGAACATGTAGTTGCATTCAAGTGAATACTCTGGCAAATAACTTGAGAACTTGTACCCCTAAAAGATAGGAAGCCTCTGGGAATGGTAAAGGATGAACTAACAATTAAAATCACTTGGATAAATTGTTTGGCACAAACAGAAGACACTTGGATAGCATGTTGAATCCCCTAGCATTTGGGGGTTATTGAACCAATCAGGGAAAAAGTACAATAAGTTGAAAAGGGTGATATGGTTAATCAGCTGCTCTAAGTACAACCATCAAAAGGTTTCCAGCTATATCTCTTGTGCTCATTAATCATAAATTTGAATAAAAAACCTATTGTGTCTCTTAGATTTTGATTCATTTTTATTAATCAGTATTTTTTTGAGTTCTTGTTTTGGCTTTATTTCTGGTTATTTGTTTAACATGCTTAATCTTTGTGCATCACATATATAGATGAGTTTGAAATGGATCAGAATAATCACCATTTGGAAGTGTTTAATACTTCACTCCACCTTCCTGTTTATGTTAGTCTTTTCGAAATGTTAGACCATATCTTCTCATTTTTTATTTATTTATTCTTTTTTTGTTGTTGTTCTTGACGATGATCAGCCAGTGGATTTGACTTGTCCTTCTTCACTAAATTATGGGAAGTTCACATAACCACTTTTACTCCATGCATTTTGCTGCTGTTTAATTTCTGTCCGACTGTATGGAGGATGTAAAATGAAAATTTTCCCAATGTTCTTCAACAGTCGAGATTGTTAAGATTTGTGCAATATACGTATAATGCATGTTAATAGTGAAATAAAATTTAGCAACTCTTGCATCCCACTTTATGATGATTCCATGGGACTTTGCTTCCCATTTATATGATAATCATATATAACACCAATTTTTTTCTCTCTTCTCATATTCTTGCTTGGATGTCATGTTATCAAAAAATCCAGACAGCAACTCTCCAGGGGTAGTTACCATCCTTAGCGAGTCAATCTTCAAGGATGAAAATGCCAAATTCAATTGTAGGAGACAAGGAAATGAGTCTAAACGTGCAGGTAAGAGGTCCTTGGACATGAAGCCATTACCTAATACATTGGATATCCAGGTTACCTTTTTTCCTGAAACGAATAGGTTAAGAAGATCTTATTATCTGTCTGACCTGCATAATACTCTATTTATATTGGTGTCGGCCTTCATGTTTCATGTCTATTGATTTCATATTATCTATATAATCTATCATCTATTTAATAACATCCATGGCCAAGATTATATATTTCATTTCCAAACAGTCATGACTATAATCATGCTTTGCGATATATAGCGTTCAATGTTTTTCGTACATAGTTATGAACTTGCTTGCTGTACAAAACTCCTATTCACGCATACCACCAGTACTTAATGTCTTCAAGTATACCCCTTTTTCCAAAGAACAATATGCTATTTCCTGGACAAACTTTTCATACAACCTTATCATGCAGTCTTCCCCTCCTTTTTATCGGATCATCTTAATATTGAACGATGAAGCTTGTAGTGCTTTGGAAGCAAGATTGACCATATTGAAATGTCCTAATGATGTCTATGCCGACTTAAATGCAATTCCAGAGCTTGGCTTCAGCATTCGAGTTGCATGAGTACATTTTATGAATTTGGTTTCGTGTAAAACTGGTTTTCCAGGTGGTCTAGGAGATTACGATAAATATACCTGCATCATATTACTTTATTTCCTTTTGTTTTGTCTGATTTATATTTTATGGAACTTCGCTAACTGTTGACAGGTGCGTTCTTAAGGTTATAATTTTGAGTACCTTCTCAGCCAAATCAACTCATTTATAACTTTTCTGGCTATTATCCTTCTTTTGTAGTACCTATCTTCACTCATCATTGAAGGTTAACGTATTTGCCATATCATCTGCTTCTCGTTATTTTGAATGGTTCGTTCAGCTGAATGTTTTTGCGGATAACTGATATGGTGTTTTAAATATGAATTTTATTTCATTTGTGCAATTTCAAATATGAATATTATTTCATTTGTGTAATTTCAAGAGCACTTGTGGTTTATTCTTCTACTGTTCTTTAATAACTGGTAAACCAATGATTGCTTTTTGGCAGTACATGACATCATGTCCATTCTAAAACAACCAATTCTGAGGAAAGTTGTTGCAATGAATAAACCATCAGTCGATGACTGCTTTGGGTCGCATTCTTCAGATGTGGATTATAATATCAAGGATCACAGCAAAGAATGTGCTGAAGAATGTAGTAGAAATGCACCAGAGAATTTGAGAGAAAGTTCCTCAGATCATTCCAAGATTTTAAAATCCGAAACTGTAGAAGTCCTTGTTGCTGCTGAAAAGTGCACTTTGTCTGAAAATGACAAAGAATCTCAGGCGAGGCCCTCTACTTCTTTTATCGGGTATGTATATTTCTTAATATTTAATCTTAATTCTTAACAAACGTGAACTGATAGGATGTTGTCATGGGATCATGTTGCTCTGCCCGGATAATGCATAGGAAATTGTGGTTTGTTCAGAAAGTGCATATATTCCACTCTTTAACTGTGTTGTACCTTAATTAAAACAAACAACTCTTATTTGATTCAGATTAGAGACATCAAATTATACTGCGCCTGTTCCTGATGTAGAGTACATCTGTCCCAGTAAATTGATTCCAAATCCTTTATCCATGGAGCCGCACACACCGGCCACTCCTGCTTCATGTACGCAAGGTCAAAATACATTTGAATCGTTAACACTAAATACATCCATCCAACAAGAATAGTGAACCTGCTAATCGCCCTAAAATGCGTTCTGAAGGGAAGTCACCTTCTTATAACATATCTGATGCTTTGTGTTAATGTTATATGCAGCGATCACGACAGAAAAAAGTGCCGTTACAACATTGAGCCCTGCTAAAGTACCAGAGGTGAAATCTGGAAACTCTTTGAACATGAAAATTTGATTCAGTTATTTATTTAGTGTCTCTTTTAGCATGAGATGTGAATTCACCAGATTAAAAATCTTGAATCTCTCTGAATTCAAAGGAAATGGATGAGTTCCCGAGCTTTGACCTTGGGATTTGAGAAGGCTGAAATGGATTGTTCGTGTTAGAGCAAACATGGCTGTCTGAAACGACTCCATCCATGCCTATAAATCGGGCAACAACTGTGTCATATAGCAACTGAAATTTTTGAACATTTCAGACCGCGTGCACAAGATGAGAATGATGGTATAATATCATTATAAGAACCTTTATGCATGTGATTTCGTTTCTCTCTCAAGTGATAGTAGAAACCGAGGTGATGCTTAGCTTCTTGAAGTTGCGTACAATGAGTGCAAGTTGTATAAAAGCTTCAGATTTTTTCTCGTAATATTTGTAAAAACTTCTTGTTTGTCATCATTTTGCTGTGTTTTTTTCTTTATACTCGTACATAGTGTCTCGGTTATATAGTTATGGTTGTATTCTTCAATCTCTTCTAACTAGAAATGAAAAAGAAAAGAAAAGATGAGGTAGTATTCTAATATCATCCAATTTTACAGGTAAGATCACGTTTTCTTATGATATGCAGAACTTATCATTCTGGAATAGACGTCTCTCGCCATTTTCTAATGGAGTGAAGTTTCAATGAAGTAAATTACTTTGCATTGATGTTATTGCAAGACAATTAAGATTGTGGAAATACTGTTAGTTAGATCTGATGGGTCAGAAGTGGTTAGATGATAATTGTTGCTCGATAGTAATTAATTGTTTGTTCAATAATACAGTTTATTTAAACAACATACTTTGAAACTATGTTGTTATTTTGTTTCATTTTTACTTTCACTAGAAATTATCAAAGGCAGTAACAACACAAGTGTGTCAGTACTATAAAAGCGATGCAATAAACATCCAGCATTCAGTCTTCTGCAATCAAGTCTTGATATGGACCTTGTCTTGTCATATTGGTGTTACAAGTCAACTGGGCACCGAGTCACCGAGTTCACTTTCTTGACCGGTGCACGTCAAGTAAGGCTTTCAACATATGCTTACTTCGTTTGGTGTAAGGTTCGGTCTCCATCCCACTATTAGCTATCTCACGATTTACATGCAATGAAAGTGATCTTCGAGGCTCTGACGGACTCTGTAATTTAAGGGAAAATATTAGTATTGGAATCAATCGAAAAATAAAATATTATGGAGAAGGCCTTTTTGTCGACCTTTTTAGCTTGAAAGGAACGACTGCGATTCAATAGTTGCTAGATGTTTAAACGAGCGGGTAGAGTCGAGCTCACTAACAGCTCTAAAAGTTGCTCATATACTGAAATATCATTTAACAACTCTAATAGTAAATTTAAGCATGATTGCTTACTCGTTTGTAGCTAGTGGGGTTCGAAGAGACTGATCTATTAGCAATAGATCCGGACCTCTTGAGGCTGAAACCGAGTGGCGAAACTGCATGTTTCCCTGTTTGGTTTTTTCACATAGAGATGATTTAGGACACAGAATGATCGAGCTATGCTCTTGCACATAAACACGAATGTAATACTCCGAGTGAAGATGCCAATAATGTCAAATAAAATGGACATTAACACGAATGTTTACCTGGCTCTTTGTTGGATGTGAACCTATGGAAAGCAAAACCGACGGCCCTCGGAGAAAATTCACTCGTTGGTTTCCACGAGTGTCCTTTCCTTCATCAACAAATCACACAATAAATAAATATACGATAAAGCCGAGGGAAATAACAAGATGCAGTTTGTTTTCGCTTCTCAACACATATACCTCAACAATGGTAATGGAGGTTTCATTAGTCCAACTTGAAATTGTTTGCCAAATGGATTATCTGCAGAAGAATAACGTAATCGACCTTTAATACTATTCTTTGTTTTCCAAATTAGACAATTTTCGCTACTGACGGAAAGATTTTACCTTGCTTGGGTTGGAATGTATCATGTTGGGTGCAATTTTTATACATCAACTCTGGTTTACCAAAGTGAAGTGTCTCAACAGTGTATTGCTTGTGGTGCTTCGCAGCTTCTATCTCCATCGAGTGCCTCGACATGCCAGCAAGCTCGACAAATCCTCTGCACGTACTTGCTTTCTGTAACCCAATTCACAAAAGATCTCAAGAAACGAACGTTGCAATTTGCATTAATTTGTAATCACCACGAGTAGAACTATTGCTGCTACCTGTTGTATGCAGGTGAACCGGTTATTTGTTGCTTCGAGTTCTTTCGTTTTTTCGTCCAAGAAGCTGTTGAGTCTATCAGCCACCGAACCCAAATGATCGACAGTATTTATAAGAGCTTTAGCGACGTAATCTTTCGACGACTCGATCACTCTGCACAGATCGTCATCATTACAAAATATACGAGTTCGATGATAATAATAATAACAACATATTGAAATGAAATATCACGCGAATTGGTAAGAATGTCGTACGACTGTCGACTGTCGTCTTCGTCAAAGAACGTCTCGAAATGTTCTGCTGCTGCATATAGTTGCTGCCTCAAGGTTCTCAAATCCTGAACAACCAAAAAAAGAACACATTATTCATTTCGAAAATGCTACAGTCCCGTTGCAGAATCATTCCGTCGGGATTTATAGCCGTTAGATCATCATGTAACCGTCGTGGATAGTTGATCTAACGATCACAAACCCCGACGGAATAGTTCCGTAACGGGACCGTAGAATCTCCCCAAAGTTAAATCACAAAGTATTGTGGCACCTTGAGGCTGTCCTGAAAGGAGAGACTTTGCAGGAAGAACATCTCATCAGAGTTGGGTACCATTTGTGAGGCCTTCACTGAAAATGTAGTTGAAGTACTGTAATCACCACTCATTCTTGATAAAAATTTATGTCTATAAAAACCCAGGAAAAAATTAAAGACCAAATGGAAACTGATATTATTACTACCTTAATAGGAACAAACAATAAAGGATAAAAAAAAAAAATCTATTAAAAGAAGAAAGAAAGTGAAATTTTTGTTCAAAATTTCACACGAGTTTCATGCTTAAAAGAATTGACAAATTTTGTTAGCAATCAAAATTACAGTGCAGATATAGCTATATATGGGCCATTAATTAAAATTGGTGTGAGAAAAGGGGTGAAAAAGTAAAAACACCACAATTTTTGTTGGTTTCATAAAATAGGAAATATCAAATAAAAGGCAAAATTACAGTTTTAGTCATGTTGGTTTGATTAAGTGACGTTTTTAGTTCTAAGGATTGTACATTTCTGCTATTTGGTATTTTGGTCCTATGATTTTAGAATTCAATGCAATTTCAATCATTTGAGGCTGAAAATGCAACAAAATTTAAAACTATATGGCTCAAATTGCTAGTAAAAACTCTTTTGGATGAATTTTTTTATCAGCAATTAAGTCCTGTAATTTTAATTTTTTTTTTGTTGCAATTTCAGTCCCGAAGGCCTGCAATTGCAACAAAATACTAAATTACAGGATCAAAAGACAAAAAAGTTGAAATCTTGGGACTAAAAATGCTATCACGTAAAACCCGCAGGACTAAAAATGCAATTTTGGCTCAAATAAAAGTGGGATTTGAATGGAATTTATCTCAAGCTGATTAATTCCAA